ATAGTGCATTTGTGTGTGTGTTTGTGTGTGCATTTTAAGAGGGACTTTACCCCCAGTATATACATTTTGTACCCACAACTTGGCTGCAAAACTCATAAAAGTGTGAATTTCAAAGGAGGACCGTGTTTCAGTTCCCAGATTGCTTCGGGAAGCGAGATTTAGGTATGCCTGGATGGAAATGCAAACTAAATAAAATCTCTCCCATATCCCTAGAATGCATGATTTATACAGCTTGAGGAACCCAGTTTTTTGGGAAGAGGATCTTGGGTCATGCTAGTGCAGAATGTCATTTCGCTCTTCTAGAAGCCATGATTGATGACCTAGTAATTCTCCATCACCCTGGCTTGAAAGGGGAATAGATCTGTGAGTAGGGATGAGAATCAGTTGGTTTCCAGTCTGGGTTACTTTGGCACCAGGCTACCCAGAAGTCTGTTCTGCCCACTTCCTACATTTATCCTACATTTATCAACAATGATCCGTCATATTTCCTTATGGCAGGGGCCTGTAAGGGGCTATGGATCCTATTGAGCTACAGGGATGGCCACCACTGAGGCAGGGCAGTGGTCCAAACAAGATGTGGTGAGCAGTTTCCTGGTTGGCAAACCTTAGAGGGGTTTCAGGACCTTGGACAGTACTCTAGCTGCTATGGCCAGACATCCAAGTTGTTTCAGCCTGGAGCAAATGGACTGAGTTTTATAGCAGAGCTGGGTAGACCCTGACTGGGGAGCCTACTCACGGAGTGGTATCTCCTGGCCATTTAATAATGGGTGGGTGCCTTCCCCTCACCCTTCACAGAAATTGGGTTTCTGGCTGTGGGTATCACTCCACAGGGTTCTCTTGAGCCCTTGCGGAGTCTGTGGACCAGTCATCAGAGTCTGGTGGCATAGGTCTCCTTGGGTGGTGGCTCATGGAACCACATGGACACACCTAGACATGGATCCTTCTCCTCCTCAGAGAGAACTCTGTTGCTGAGGAGTCCTGGTTTGGGGCTGATGCACATGTGAATCCACAGCTTCTCCTGACAGGCTCCAACATATTCCCAGAATGAAGAGTATACTCCCCTATGCAGAGGATGGAGCTACCCTCTTATGAAACTTCAGACTGCAGCATTTGGGACTTCTTAGTTTAGAGCAGGGTTTCCCAAACTTGAGTCTCCAGATGTTTTTGGACTACAGCTCCCATCATCCCTAGCTAGGAGGACCGGTGGTCAGGGATGATGGGAATTGTAGTCCAAATACAGCTGGAGACCCAAGTTTGGGAAACCCCAGTTTAGAGACAAACTGAGCAAGAGACGATGTGATAGAAGTTCATAAAATTATACATGGCATGGGGAAAGTGGACAGAGAAAAGTTTTCTTCCTTTCTCAACACTAGGATTCACAGTCACCCAATGAAGCTGAATGTTTGAGAATTCAGGACAAACAAAAGCAGAAGAAGAGTTTGGATTTGATATCCCACTTTATCACTACCTGAGGGAGTCTCAAAGCGGCTAACATTCTCCTTTCCCTTCCTCCCCCACAACAAACACTCTGTGAGGTGAGTGGGGCTGAGAGACTTCAGAGAAGTGTGACTGGCCCAAGGTCACCCAGCAGCTGCATGTGGAGGAGCGGAGACGCGAACCCGGTTCCCCAGATTACGAATCTACCGCTCTTAACCACTACACCACACTGGCTGGGAGGACTTCTTCAGGCTGTCAAACCAAGGAGCTCCCACGGGAGGCAGAGGTGGCCACCAACTTGGAGGGCTTCAAAAGAAGGATGGACAAATTCATGAAGAGGGCTATCAATGGCTACTAGTCATGATGGCTATACTCTGCCTTCCTGGTCAAAGGCAGCAATGCTTCTGAACACCAGTTGCTGGAGGCCATAGGAGGTGAGAGCACTCTTCTGCTGTGATCCTGTGAGAACAGCATGCTGGGTTCAATGGGCCACTGGCTCTTCTCAGGTTCTTAAGTGGGACATAGTTGGATGGAACCCACAGTTCAGGGACACATTCCAGCTGGGCAAAGTAGGGAGCACACGGCAGGGTTGGGTAAGGGGGCATGGGCTGGGGAGAGGTCCAAGGGCCAGATTGAAAAGGTCTGGAGGGCCACACGTGCCTTGCAGGTTTGAACTTCCCTACCCATGATGTGAAAGATTGCCCGGTGAGTGGAATCAAAGGGAGGGGGAAAAGAAGACACTCCAAGCAGCAGTGAATTCATTTTCTTTCTTTTTTTTTAATGTATAACCGTTACGCCTGAGTTACAGAAGAGAGACACCTACAGGCAGCAGGTAGTTAAAGCAAGTACCAGTTCTGTTTCTCTACTCTACTACTCCATATAGCTGAATAAATTATGAGGTGATTATATTTATATATATATATGTACACACACACACACGCTCTCTTTCTCTCTTTCTCTCTCTCTCTCGCTCACACTCACCATCTCGCCCACACTGACTCACACACGCACATGTACATATGGAGCAAAAATTAGCTATGACTCGAACACAGAAGCAACATATCTGCAATTACTAGGAATAAGGTATGTTCTACAGATAATATTTGTCCAGGTTTTGCGGGGTATGTGGAGTTGGTTAGGGGGCGGGGTGGGTGACACGTTAGAAACATTAAATACACAAAATCTCTGATTGGTCAGATATCTATATATATTTTCCCCCAGGGGTGCAGGAGCATTTGGCTGGGTTTGGGGGTGGGGGAAGGTGAGCAGAAAATAAAGAATATGCAAAGATGATGTTAGAATGATACTTGGTAAAGAACGTGTGGGGAGGAGGTGATTTGTTCCAGTTTTTTTGTCCCGTCCCCCCCAATAATCAGTATCCAGCCCTTTGCTTTGCAGGCTGGGCAGGGAAGTTCTGGTGCCAAATTCTCTCCAATGAGAGAACGTTTCCCATACATTTCAGCAAATCCCAGGGTGTTCTGCATCAAATGCACATTGGAACTCCATGGCAATGAACAGGAAAGTCTATGCATTCAGGAGCACACATATGGAATCTGGGCAAGGCCACCCAAGCTTGGAAAATCCCCCACTGGAATGATCAGTGAAACATGGAATGTGTCAATGCAGTTGGATTGGGTCACAAGAGCAGCTTTGGGGAGAGCACTGAGGGGCAGAGGAAGTTCATCACTTCGCGTCCTCACTGCAGGGCTTCAAATATTTCCAGCTGTCAAGGATTTGCTTTGAAAGCTCTCCTGGCTGTCTGCCTCCTCCTCCTCCTTTGCCCTCACTGTCCTTTGCCCTCACTTGCCCACACTGATGCCCAACCTGGTTTGCCGTGGTCCATGGGGCAACCTCGCTTACAAACTCCTTTGCTTACAAACATCCGAGGCATGTCAACGTATTATATAACATCAACAACAAATCAACAGGGAGAAAGAGCACCGGAACTCGCCGGTTTGCAGTTAAGTGTCGAAAAAGTCACCGAAAGCAAAAGCTGTTTCCCTGATGTTCGTGAAATGGGATGCTTAAATAGGAAAACTGGGTTTTGGTACAGTCCCTATGGGACAAAAATAACTGAATCAGGAGATGTCTGCATTTCAGATTTAAATCTCCATGGTAGTACACTAACTGCGCATGTTCCGGTTGGCCAATGCCATAGCCGGAATCCAAAGGGACTAGTTCTTCACATCGAAGGGCAGGAAGTTTGGGGCTTGTGTGTCCCAAATAATGTTCCCCTTTCCATGATGCACATCACTTAACATTCAAAAGCAAAGGGGTTGCAAAATCTGTTTGCAGGATGGCTGGGGAGGAAGGTTGCTTAAAGTGGGGGAACTAAAATAAAAATAAAAATAATTGAGTGCAACTCAGCCTGTCAGTATAGTAAAAGCGACCATTTGGTTCCTCCCCTTCAGTTCACCTTGAATTTTTGCATTTCTTTTTGGGTGTTGTCTTCCACCTGCCCTTTGCTGGTTTCCCATCCCCAGAATTTTTTGCTGCTCATCTAATAAATCAATTAAAACCAACCCCCAACATATTTTTTCTTCTTCCACCAATGAATTTAAATTTCCTTTCATGAAAAAGAAGATAGAGGCAACTTTCCCTTTCCCCCCACCCCCTAAAGAAAAATTCAACCCAAACCCCAAAAGTTATTGGAATGTATTTTGAAAACATACAATACGCAAAAGGTCCTACACTGTTCTGCCTCCCAAGCCTTTATATATATATGTATATATATATATATATTATTTATATTTATATATGTGTATTTTTAAAAACTACCACAGCACTCACTGTGTGTTTAGTAATATATAGAGAGAGAAGAAAGAGAAATGCCAACTTTCTATAAACAAACACCACGTGACCGAGTTTCCACTTAAGGTACGTAGGTACCCCCTCCAAGAACCCTCTCCTCTTCAACATACTCTTCTAAGCTCTATATTTACAGCAGCGGCTTAGATGGCTGTGACTTTTGTGGCAAAGGGAAGTGGCAAATAACATTGCTATTCACTAGCATCATTCCATAGCATCCAGCATCCCAAATGGACTTGGAGATCCAAGGATCTGCCGAAATAATGGCTGGGGATAAGTCACAGTCTGGTGTGTGTGTTCTGCTTTATTTTATATGTACAATTTCAAAAACCGATGCGGAAATTGAGCGGAAAACAGGAAGCTGGGTTTTCCAGGGGTGCTACTTCCTGTTTATGTGGCATTGGTGACTTTTGGTTGAAGTAGAGTTGCCATGCATTTTGCATATGTATATGGAATTGGGAGAACTCAATGCTGCCCTTGAGCTACCCCTCCCGCCCCCCAAAATATATATATGCATGAACAATATATATCAAAACATGGTTTCTGTGCAGGGCCAGATTTAGGTTTGATGAAGCCCTAAGCCAATGAAGGTAATGGGGTCCCTTATATGCCCAGCTGTCCTTTTGTCAACAACAAATTGTCGCTCTTTTTTGTTTTGAATATATGCTATATGATAATTTATGGACCTAATAGGTATCTAAAGCCATTTGCACATGACAAAATATGTATTTTATCAAAGTAATTTTTTTCCTTTAAATTTTTTGGGGCCTCCCAAGAGAGTGGGGCCCTAAGCAATAGCTTGTTTAGCTTATACGTAAATCCGGCACTGTTTCTGTGATATGAGCAAATTCGCCTTAGAGTTGTGAACTCTTGAGATGAGAAATTTTGGTAGATGGGCCAGGACTGTGGCTGGAGCTAGAGGTAAATTCCGTATCTTGGAAACTCTTAAAACCATCCAGAGTAGATGGTTTGTCAAGGTGAAAGCAGTAGAGAAGGAAACTGGTCACCTGTGGCTTTAAACGAGGCTGAAAGGAATTTGAGAGATGGAATGACTTTTCTGACCTTAAAACTACCAGCTCTTCCTGATTCCCCACCTTGCATTTTCATTATTCTTCCACTTCCGGGCTTGAAGGTTTGCCTGTCTGAAATTGCACTCATGGTTCTCCTAATTTTGGAAAGCAATAATTTTCGGAATTCGATTAAAAACCCACCACATGCCCACTGGTGAATGCTGTTGGATTTAAGGGAGTTTTAGGGGATTGGGGACTTCGTGGACACACACAATGAAGTGCAACAGACCTTGCAACACCCATGAGGTATTCTGAACATCAAGAGAGTCTAGCCTTGCTATCTGATATGCTTTGAACTCAAAATGCTACAGCGTGAACCAGCGACCTTGGTGTGCAAAGCAAGCTGCTCTGCCATTGAGCCACAGACACTTCCCGAAAGGAAAGACTAGCACCGGTGCAATGGAATGCTCCTGATTTTGGTAGGCCTTAGACCATTGGTCCATCTAGCCCAGTATTGCTGACACTGACTGGCAGTGGCTCTCCAAGGTTTCATGTAGGGGGTTTCTTCCAACCCTATCTGGAGATGCAATTGGGTCTTGAATCTGCTCTTCCACTGAAAACCAACTGTCCTAATACGGATTGTTGGCTACCACTGCCAGCCGATTGTTTCAACTGTCCTTTTCTCCTGTCCTTGAACTTTCTCATCTCCTCTTTTTCTATCAAACGGGAAAATACGAGGTCACCGCTGGAATAAGTTCCTCCAGGGGTGTTGTTAGGAGATGACCCAGATGACCTGCTCCCTGCCCCCCCTGCCCCACACTTTGTAACAAGGCAGCCGGGGGCACTACAGAGTACATTGCCCACAAAATTCTGCCATCTTCACATGCCCAGAGGCACTTCTTTTAGTTTCAATGAGCACATAGGCAGCAGACCTTGCCAACAAGTTGTGGGGGAGGTCAAAGGTCCCAATCCATTTGTGGGCCCAGAAAACCCTGCTGGTACCCCACAGCTCAGAGTGAGCCCTGGCAGACATTGATTCCTGCCCCCCACTCTGAAATCCAGCCCAAATTTGCATCTGCACTAGAGGTAAAGTATGTGGGTCCATACAGACCTTGCTAGGCTTCTGAACCGCATCAGCAACAGTGGAAATGTGCATATGGAAACATTCTGCAAATTAGTGTTGTATGGACCAGTTCCTGAATCTTTTAAATACTTAGTTTTAATAGAAGCACCTCCCACAGAAGACTTCCATTTTCAAGCTGGGTGCCGCTGACTGTATAGCAGTCAAAATCAACCAGAAGGGGGATGGAAATGAAGAGTTTCCCCCTATCTTCCTTGTCACCATGTGGTGGTCTTGTAGATGAATAGATTCATCCAACAGGACCCAATGCAACTTTGAAGCCAATGTTCAGGGTGTGTGGGATTTTTGACAGCCTAGACAACAAGGGATCCCTTGTCTTTGTTAATATACTTGGCTCCCTTGATTGCCAGAACGTGGCAATTTTAAAACGCCATAGGCGAACAAAGTTGCGTGGTATTCATCCTGCATCTAACCTCCAGCTTCCTCAGATTCTGTCTCAACTTCCTGCAGAATTAGTGGTCCCCAAACTGGGAAAAAAAGTTACAATATACATCAAATTTCCCTCTCCCCAACACATTGAATTGAGATGCACTGCAACCTCTCCCCCTTTTGCTATACCTTCTCCATTTTTGGTCCAAATATTTCCCCATTTGGTCCCAAGATCAACACTTAACAATCACCAGGATTCCTCCTTCACAGGCAATGCCGATCATGTACAATAACTAAATGGGGCTGGGGGGTAGACAGACGAAAAGAATCTACCTATCTATCTATATATTTACGAAGAAAACAGGTTCCACAGTGACTTAAGCCCAGAGGCCACATCAATGGAAGGTCCATAACTGTTGGTTGTTTACGGCGTTGGCTAGGAGGGCTTGAACATCAGGGGGGAAATAAACATCGGATCACACTCATTGTCTCTGGCCTTTGAAGGGGTCAAAGTCACCATAGGCGAGTGTTTTCTTAACAGGTCTGCACAGTTAGAATTTGAATTAGTGGAAACTTCTCCCTTCCTTCCTCAGTCCTCTTTGCCCTTCAGGTGCAGGCAAGATTTGGAAGGTTCGATGCTTAAGGTCCCAGAAGAAGAAGGGCGTTGACAGAGCTGGGTCCTTGGAAGGCTGGTGGCAGAAGTGGGATTTTTTCTTCTTCCATTTTTCATTTGTGTCTCATTGGTGGTCGACTATCAACGTAGGTGATGTTGTGTGGCTGCATCCATCAGTAAGCTTGGCCTGTTTCAACGGGTAGGAGACCCAGCACAGCCGAATGTTCCCCAAGCTTCATTCTACGCTGTGTGGACAGGCTCACGTTTTTGGTCAGATAGTCAACTGCGGCTGGGGAAAGGAAGAGGAGGAGTAAACAACAGAGGAAGAGGTAAAGTGCGAATAATGTTGCAGAAGAAGCATTTACAGTTCTACAAAGACACACCCTAGATAAAGATGGGAGAGCCCAGTCAGCCCATGTTTGTCTCATCACCCACCATGGGGCTTGGCAGCTGCAGTTTTTAAAACATGGTATTCATCATGCCTATCTCTGATGCATTTTGCATTATTTTATTATAATATTGTGTTCTTAGCTATTGGAAGCCGCCCTGAGTAATGCCTACGTATCAGAAGAGTGGGATAGAGATTCTTGCCTTTTTTTAAAAAAGTAAGCAGCTAGTCCTCAATCTGATACCATACCCCACAACTTCTGAAAACTTAATAAATAATAATAATAATAATAATAATAATAATAATAATAATAATAATAAATTAATTTGTACACCGCCCTTCATCCGAAGATCCGATGGCGGTTCACGACAGAAAAATACAAAATGTGAATACAAATACATAACGAAACAAAAACAAACTGAAACCAATAACCCCACCTCCCACGAACATGTTTAAAAAGCCATGGCTTCTGATTTTTCACTTGGCATCCATCTACACGCTTATAAGCCCCCCTTGGCTGCCCCAAAGTGTCGTTTTTCCCATTGTTAAGTCATCTTGCTTTCGAAAGTCAAAACACATGGACTCTATTAATATAGAGGCCTAGAAACTTGGTTGAATTATTTTTTTTGAAAAAAAGAAAGAAAGCCAGAATCCGTCCAGCATGCGGAATCCTGTGCCCTCGTCCAGCACTTGAAAATTTGGGTGCCACGTCACGAGCCCGTCCTGAGACTTCGAGTTAGCTTGCGGGCAAAGGATAAAAATAAACTCTCAATACATTTCTTGGCTGTAAGCGGAATTGTGTGACGTGCTTTTGGCTTGGCTGGAAGACCCAAAATCCACCATTCTCTGAAGACTGGCAAGTGAAAGTTCATATATATATATATATATATATGCAGGTTTTGGTGTCCTCGGGTGTCTTCCCGTGTAAAAGTTGGGGTGTCTAGGCGACGTTTCGACGAGGTCTCACTCGTCATCTTCAGGCTGGTGCTTTCGGCTTCTTGTTACTGGAACAGAGCAGGATCTCAGTGTTTGCTCTGTTCCAGTAACAAGAAGCCGAAAGCACCAGCCTGAAGATGACGAGTGAGACCTCGTCGAAACGTCGCCTAGACACCCCAACTTTTACACGGGAAGACACCCGAGGACACCAAAACCTGCATTCCTGTACCCGTGAAAATCTACGAAAGCATATATATATATATATATATATATGAGTAAGTAACTGACACTCCCGATTAGCAGTGCTTCAGTCAAACTCTGTGCCCACCCCCCTCATTCTAATGTCACAAATTAGATTAATACAAGGCTGGCAAGGAAGGCACCATTGGTGCCAACGGGTAAACAAATTTCAGCCATCAGCATCCTGTCAGCATCTTGCCCCAAAGGGGGGTCCCTTCCAGGCGAAAATTCTTATTAGACTTGTCACATCCATTAGGAATCCTTTCACGCTTCTGCGTTCCATCAGCGGTTTCATTAGCGCAGCCTCGGCCTCTGGGAATGGCTGGGACTGCTCTGTTCTGGCTCTCCTCCATTCACCTCTTTCTCCGCCCCCCCATCTCCACCCCCCGCCCCTCGCACACCTCCGCTGACACCATCCGGGATGGAGCAGGCATGTTTCTCACTGCTTGTCTCCACGAGATCTCAGCTTGGTTTCCCCACGAGAGGCCTGGACGGACCCGTAACATTGGCGGCAGAGCTTCCCTGTACCAGTTGCTGGAAACTGCCATGGGGGGAAAGACAGTGCTCCTGTGCTGGGGGGTCCTGCTTGCGGAATTCCCCTTGGGGCATCTGGTTGGCCACTGGGGAAACAGGATGTTGGGGGGTAGATGGAGCTCCCTTTGGCCTGATCCATAGATGCTTCTGAATACCAGTTCTGCGGGAGCAACAGGAGTGGAGAGTTATCCTTGCGCCTGTGCCCTGCGTGTTGGATTCCCACAAGGATCAGGTTGGTCACTGTGAGGACAGGATGGCGGACTAGATTGGCATTGGCCTGAATCAGCGGTCTCTCCTTCAGGGATTCTTGAGCTCTGATTCCTGCATTGCAGGGGGTTGGGCTCCCTCTCAACTTAACAATTCTGTGACTCTACTAATTGTGGGGTTCTACACCTGGGACTACACAGGGACGCGGGTGGCACTGTGGGTTAAACCACAGAGCCTAGGACTTGCCAATCAAAAGGTCGGTGGTTCGAATCCCCGTGACGGGGTGAGCTCCCCTTGCTTGGTCACTGCTCCTGCCAACCTAGCAGTTCGAAAGCACCTCAAAGTACAAGTAGATATATAGGTACCGCTCCGGCGGGAAGGTAAACGGCATTTCCGTGCGCTGCTCTGGTTCGCCAGAAGCGGCTTAGTCATGCTGGCCACATGACCTGGAAGCTGTATGCTGGCTCCCTCAGCCAGTAAAGCAAGATGAGCGCCGCAACCCCAGAGTTGGTCACGACTGGACCTAATGGTCAGGGGTCCCTTTACCTTACACCTGGCAAAGAAAATTGGGTCCTGGGGCTCTGTCAGGCCTCTAAATTAAGCCCCAGTGAGCTGTGTGTGTGTGTGTGTGTGTGTGTGTGTGTGTGTGTGTGTGTATTTATGTATAATGTGTGTATTTATATGTATATGTGCTTTCGTAGATTTTCACGGGTACAGGAATGCAGGTTTTGGTGTCCTCGGGTGTCTTCCCGTGTAAAAGTTGGGGTGTCTAGGCGACGTTTCGACGAGGTCTCACTCGTCATCTTCAGGCTGGTGCTTTCGGCTTCTTGTTACTGGAACAGAGCTGTATATGTATATATATATATATGTGTGTGTGTGTGTGTGTGTGTGTGTGTGTGTGTATACACACACACACAGACACACACACATTCAACAGGTGGTTCTCCTTCTGTGGGGTTTTTTTGGGTGGGGAGGGGGAGGGGAAGCTTAGATTTGGGGACTCCAGTAGAAAACGGAGGCCAAACAGGATCGACTGGGGAAATTCATTCTCCTTGGGGATTAATGCGTTCCAAAGCATGGTCAGGCATTTGGTTAGCCTGATCTAGGCGTCACTTAGCAATCAGAACAGCAGTGGCTTTATTAAAGGGAAAAGGTGGTTGGGCTGGGGGGGGGGAGGTAAGCATTTCCACACCCCTTGCCCTCTCCCTTCTGAGAATTCCCTCTCTCTCGAGGCTCCTGCCAAGGCAAGAGGTTGCAGAACAGCAAAAACTTAATAGTCGGTAGGGGAATACCTTTGCCTGTGTTGGTAATGTCCAAGCTCTGTGCCAAGGCAAGGCAGCAGATGTCGTGAGATCTTTCCCCCTCTGCGGGAGGGGGATTGCCATGCGAAATGTAGAAACTGGAAGCTCCTGGGAGCCCAAAACAGCATACTGAGGAGGTGCCCGTTGCATCTCTGCATGAGTCTGAGTCTCCCCACCTTCCTGCATCACTGACCCGCCTGTGAGTGGAGCCTAAGATCTCCCATGCTGTCTGAAGAATCCACTCTTAGAAGATGACACCTGCTATGTCTCTGGATGATACACAGATCTCTGCCTGCTTCCTTTCAACCAACCAACCAACCAACCAACCTACCTACCTACCTACCTACCTACCTGTGACCCTCTAAAATGTCACTGGGCCAACTTCCACCAACAATCCTCAATGTTGGTCATGCTGGTTGGAGCTGATGGTAGCTGGAGCTCAGCCTCACCCAGAAGTCCATAGCTTCCCCATCCCTGAACCAGACCATCATTTGCCGTTACTACCCCCAGTTACCTCCATCATAACTCTGACTTTTAATGAAGGGATTGGGAACTTGTGGCCTCCCAAATGCTGTTCGACTGCAACTCCCATAATCCCTGACCACTGGCAATGCTGGCTGGGACTGTTGGGAGTCAGAGTCTTAAAGCAACTGGAGGGCCACAGTTTCGCCATCTCTGAACTAGGCCATCGTTTGCCGTCACTGCCCCTAGGTACCTGAATCATGCCTCTTAATGCAGGGAACTTGTGCTTCTGCAGTTGTTACTGGGCTCCAACTCACATCATCATTCCTGCTCAGGGATCTTGATACCTGCCAGGGCTGGAGGCCATCACATCAGTGCCGTATTAAACCCTGTGAGTGCCCTATGGCTGTCAAAATCTTGGGGAGGGGCGCAGAATCTCATGCACACGCTATAGTGTGATAACATTGAACTAGGAAAGCTTCACTGCAATTTTCTTACAAGATCAAATCAATATTATTTTGATCTGTTGTCGCAGGGTCCTACTCTGCCTATTTGGTAATTCAGAACTGCACCTTACTGTCTACTCCCCTGTCCAATACACTCTAGAAAATCAGACCCTCCAAATGCCCCTATTTGCCAGGGACAGTCCTGAATTTACAGAAGCCGTCCCGGTTTCTGATTTGATCCAAGAATGTCCCTCTTTTCCTTAGGACGTCCCTATTTTCATCAGAGAAATGTTGGAGGGTATGGAGTTATGCGACCGCCAAGCCAAGGAGATACTTAACTATACAGCCTTTAGAAGACATCTGAAGGCAGCCCTGTACAGTGGTACCTCGGGTTACAGACGCTTCAGGTTACAGACTCCGCTAACCCAGAAATAGTACCTTGGGTTAAGAGCTTTGCTTCAGGATGAGAACAGAAATTGCGCGGTGGCACCAGGCTAAAGGGGATGCTTCAGGTTAAGAACAGACCTCTGGAATGAATTAAGTTCTTAACCCAAGGTACCACTGTATAGAGGTTTTAAAAAATGTTAATGTTTTATTATGTTTTTATATATGCTGTAAGCTGCCCAGACTGGCTGGGGCAACTCAGTCATATGGGTGAGGTATAAATTGTATAATAATAATAAAAAATATATTTATGTCCCTATTTTCATCAGAGAAATGTTGGAGGGTATGGAAAATCAGCAATCTGCCTCATAAGGTAAAGGTAAAGGTACCCCTGCCCGTACGGGCCAGTCTTGCCAGACTCTGGGGTTGTGCGCCCATCTCACTTAAGAGGCCGGGGGCCAGCGCTGTCCGAAGACACTTCCGGGTCACGTGGCCAGCGTGACAAGCTGCATCTGGCGAGCCAGAGCCGCACACGGAAACGCCGTTTACCTTCTCGCTAGTAAGCGGTCCCTATTTATCTACTTGCACCCGGGGGTGCTTTCGAACTCCTAGGTTGGCAGGCGCTGGGACCGACCGACAGGAGCGCACCCCACCGCGGGGATTCGAACTGCCGACCTTTCGATCGGCAAGCCCTAGGCGCTGAGGCTTTAACCCACAGCGCCACCCACGTCCCTAATCTGCCTCATAATTGCCCCTTAATTCTGGGAAAGCCAAAAAAGGTGCCTTGATTATTTATCAGTACGGTTTTTTGAGGGTGGGGAGAAAAGGGGAATTAAGAGGAAATGCACTTCTCCCCCTTCTCCTTCACCCCCCCTCCCACTGTACCCTCTCTGCCCTTGCATTTCCTTATTTTTCACATTGCTCCTGCTCCCCCCCCGCCCTCGCACACACATGGGGTGTGACTAACACCTGGCCCCGGGGCATCTTTATTGGAAATACATGGTATCGGAATTTGTTTAAGATTTTTATCAATAGCACGTGTGGCTGGCCTTTGCATCCAGAAGCGAGAGGAAGGTCACGGGGTCGCAGATCAAGCGCCGTTCCCCCCACCCCACCTTCCCGCAAGAGGGAAAGAGCAGGGAGCATGGGGGGTGGGGAAGTCAACAGCCATTCATGCCCCTCTCTCTGCAGTTTACAGAAGGTTCTCATTTGGCCGTAGAAGTCGAAACACATTACATGGAGCAAGGGCAAAGGGGGGGGCGGTTGCCACGGCCGCTTGGGGAGGGAGGTTACTCTGCAATGAGCCCTGGGCGAAAAGGGGAGGAGAGCCCCCCCCCAACTTCAAGGGTTTCAATGGGTCACAAACTTATCCCTGGCTTCAAAGGGTAGCAGGTGAACTGTCTGGCTGAGAGCCTCTCGGGAGGGAGGGGTGGCGTTGTGCGTGACTCCGGTGGACCAAGAGGTGAGCTGACCCTCCCACCTCCACGGAGATGACCAAAAGCCCTTGCCCCAGGGACCTCGCCACTTGCTCCCAGACCCCCTTTTGGGAATCCCCAAATGGCCCGGGCGATATCGAGAAAAGCTAAAGAGGTTTAACATTCAACTTAAGGGGGTCTACAATGAGTAGGTCTAGCATTGGATGCAACCCATATATAACTGCCCTGAGACCTGCGGGTATAGGGCAGTATAGCAATTGAACAAATAATAATAATAATGTACTTATTTATGTGGGACGCAGGTGGCGCTGTGGGTTAAACCACAGAGCCTAGGGCCTGCCAATCGGAAGGTCGGTGGTTCGTGAGCTCCCGTTGCTCGGTCCCTGCTCCTGCCAACCTAGCAGTTCGAAAGCACGTCAAAGTGCAAGTAGATAAATAGGTACCGCTCCGGCGGGAAGGTAAATGGCGTTTCCGTGCGCTGCTCTGGTTCGCCAAAAGCGGCTTAGTCATGCTGGCCACACGACCCAGAAGCTGTACGCCGGCTCCCTCGGCCAATAAAGCGAGATGAGCGCCGCAACCCCAGAGTCGGCCACGACTGGACCTAATGGTCAGGGGTCCCTTCACCTCTACTTTACTTTACTTATTTATGCATTGCATTTATGTAGGTCCATGGAGTGTAGAATTGCCAACTCTGACTGGCATCCATTAATTTAGCAAATGTCTACACAGTTCTCTGTAAAATTTATCCTGATATGGTCCTCTGTGTGGGTCCCTGCTTAGAATCATAGAATTGTAGAGTTGGAGGGGACTCTAAGGGTCATCTAGTCCAACCCCCTGCAATGTAGGAACCACAACTTCCCACCCACCTCCAGAGATGCAGAGGAGGTTACCTGTTGCCCCCCTGCATGAGTTTCTGCAACAACCCCACCCCACCCCACTAACAGGCAGGGTCTTAACCCTCCAGTAGCAGATACTTACTTTGCCCGTACTGTCCATACTGGTAGCTGGCCACCGGGTCCACACTATAGCCAGTGGTGGTGTAGGTCGGGGGGCAGTAGGACTGCGAGGTGGGGAGGCTGTCAACAGACTTGATGGAGTCGCTCCTCTGACTGCAGCTGGCCGAGATGGAGTTGGCGGTGTCCAAGCTGCCGTGGAGGGGCGAGATGGAGAAGTCAGCCTGGGGCTGCGGGGGGACCCCGCTGGGGTTGCTCAGGATGCTCATGACCTGTGGGGAGTTGCAGGATGAGACCCAAGTCAATGGGGAACAATGGCACCAGGCATATGATGTTTAAAGAGAAGTGAGTGCTTGGAAGGAACAGAATGCAAGAACGCCAGAATTTAGATCAGGCCAGAGGTCCATCGGGTTCAGCATCCTCTTCTGTACCAATGGCCAACCACATGCCTAGGGAAAGAAGGTAAGCAGGGTCCGAGAACAATGGTGCTCATCTCATTAGTTTTTAAACTCAAGAACCGCAGAAGAGTTTTGCAGGATCATGCCAACGAACCAAAAACAAACCCCTGTGTTGCAATAAGAACCAAACACAACAATACAAACACAACACACAGGCTAATTGTTAGTAAGGTAAAAGGTAAAGGTACCCCTGCCCGTACGGGCCAGTCTTGACAGACTCTGGGGTTGTGCGCCCATCTCACTCAAGAGGCCGGGGGCCAGCGCTGTCCGCAAACACTTCCGGGTCACGTGGCCAGCGTGACAAGCTGCATCTGGCGAGCCAGTGCAGCACACAGAACGCCGTTTACCTTCCCGCTGGTAAGCGGTCCCTATTTATCTACTTGCACCCGGGGGTGCTTTCGAACTGCTAGGTTGGCAGGCGCTGGGACCGAACGACAGGAGCGCACCCCGCCGCGGGGATTCGAACCGCCAACCTTTCGATCGGCAAGCCCTAGGTGCTGAGGCTTTTACCCACAGCGCCACCCGCGTCCCTAATTGTTAGTAGAGAAAATAATAATAATAATAATAATAATAATAATAATAATAATAATAATAATTTATTATTTGTACCCTGCTCATCAGGCTGGGTCTCCCCAGCCACTCTGGGTTGCTTCTAACAAAGATTAAAAATACATTAAAATGTCACACATTAAAAACTTCTATGATCACTATTCTATTATACAGTATATTCTCTACTAACTATTAGCCTACGTGTTGGGTTTGTATTGTTTTTGGATCCAAACATTAAAAACTTCAGATGTCTTCGAAAAGTTGTGTTGTTCTTTATCTCCTTGACATCTGGTGGGAGGGTGTTCCACAGGGCAGGCATAACTGTTGAGAAGTCCCTTTGCCTACTTCCCTGTTAACTTCACTTCTCGCAGTAAGGGAACTGCCAAAAGGCCCTTGGAGCTGGACCTCGGTGTCCGGGCTGAACGATAGGGGGGAGACGCTCCTTCAGGTATACTGGACCGAGGCCGTTTAGGGCTTTAAAGGTCAGCACTGACACTTTGAATTGTGCTCGGAAACATACTGGGAGCCAGTGTAGATCCTTTAGGACTGGTGTTATATGGTTGCAGCGGCTCCCCGTCACCAGTCTAGATGCTGCATTCTGGATTTGTTGTAGTTTCCAGGTCACCTTCAAAGCTAGCCTCACATAGACCGCATTGCAGCAGTCCAAGCGGGAGATAACCAGAGCATGTACCTCTCTGGTGAGACAGTGCACAGGCAGGTAGGGTCTCAGCCTGAATACCAGATGGAGCTGGTAGTACAGTATCATCTTCCAATTTTAGTTATCGTTTGGCCTAATCTACTCTTAAGAATGGAAGACTGTAAGAATAGCCCTATCTAGTCCAGCATCATGTTTCCAGCATGTTTCTGAGCACAATTCAAAGTGTCAGTGCTGACCTTTAAAGCCCCAAACGGCCTCGGTCCAGTATACCTGAAGGAGTGTCTCTACCCCCAACGTTCTGCCCGGACACTGAGGTCCAGCGCCGAGGGCCTTCTGGCGGTTCCCTCACTGCGAGAAGCCAAGTTACAGGGAACCAGGCAGAGGGCCTTCTCGGTAGTGGCACCCGCCCAGTGGAACGCCCTCCCACCAGATGTCAAAGAGAAGAACAACTACCAGACTTTTAGAAGACATCTGAAGGCAGCCCTGTTTAGGAAAGCTTTTAATGTTTAATAGACTACAGTATTTTAATACTTTGTTGGAAGCTGCCCAGAGTGGCTGGGGAAACCCAGCCAGATGGGCGGGGTATAAATAGATGATGATGATGATGATGATGATGATGATGGTGATGGTGATGGTGATGATTATGTTCTGACAGTGGCCAACCAGATACCACCAATGGGAAACCAACAGCACTCACATAGGAACCTAAGAAGATCTTTTGGATCATGCCAGTGTCCCATCTAGTCCAGCATCCTGTTCTCACAGATTCCACCAGCAAGCAGGACCTGAGCACAAGAGCAACATTCCTCTCTTGTTGTTTCCAGCAATTGGAATTTGGAGGCAGGCTGTTCCTGGAGGATCCATCTATTTCTTGTGACTAATTGCTACTACCAGTAGACTTAAGAGCATAACAGAAGCCTGGCTGCTGGATCAGCCCAAAGATTTAGCCCAGCATCCTGCTCTCTCACAGTGGCCACCCAGAGGCCCCAATGGGAAGCCGGCCAGACTTGCAATTCCCAGCAAATCCACTTCCTCCTCCTACTCTGACACAAACCTCTTTTCTGAATCTCGGACCAGTCCCTCTGCTTCCCTGGCAATGCGCAGGAAGCATCAGCTGCTCCCCTCCTTGCCTTTTGGCAAAGCGCCGAAGTGCCGGCAGTCACCTCCGCGCCGCTCCAAAGCTTTCCCTTTTTTTTATAAAGAAAAAGGGAGGGCGGGAAGGGGGGGGGGAGTCTGAAAATGTAGCATAATCTTATTGACCTCAATTAATGCACCAAATTGAAAATGTTTGGAGCCCGGCAAGAGGTGGAAGAAAGCTTTTTATCCCTCGCTAACCTCCTGTTGGGAGGACTTTATTCTTTCCGAATGACACGCTGCTGTTTCGGGAGAGGCGATTCCTCGCCCGGCAAACGGTCCGATGGCTCCCCTTGCCCCAACTTCTGCCAGATATAAGCTTGAGATGATGGCGGCTGAGCCTGGGACCTTCTGCATTCAAACCGGATGCTCTGCCATTGAGCTGGAGCCCTTCTCTTACGATATAGGAAGCTGCCATCTAACTCGGTGTTTCTTCAGACAAGAGACTTTCCAAGCCCTTCACGGAAATGTTGGGGATTGAACCTGGGACCACAGCACTCCAGCACCAAGCTATGGTTCGTTCCCCCCAAATTAAGTAGCATCCTAGTCCTCATGGTTCTGAAAGACTCATTTAAACAGGGAACTGCCTTATACAGTCAGCTATGAGCCCAACTAGCTCACTAGAGTGTACGCCAGGGTTTCCCAAACTCATTTTGGGACTACAGTTCCCATCATCCCTGACCACTGGTCCTGCTAGCAAGGGATGACGGGAGTTGTAGTCCAACAACAGCTGGAGACCCAAGTCTGGGAAACCCTGGAGTACCCTGACTAGCTGTGGCTTTCTAGGGTGTCAGGCAGCTGCGGCTGGGAGAGAGTCTCTTTCTGAAACCCCAGTGACATCCTGCTGGTCAGTGTGGGCCAGAGATGGGGAAGGTGACTTCTGCCTTCAGATGTTGTTGGGCTACAGTTCTCATCAGCCCCAGACAAGCATGGTCAATGGTCAGAGACGATGAGACTTGACTGATCTAGATGGGCCAATGGCTTGATTCAGCATATCTATTTGTTTTTATTTACCCTGTTTATCCCCTGCCCTTTCTCCTCCAAGGAGCTCAAAGTGGAGCACCTGGTTCTAATTCTGCCCCGGTTTATCCTCACAACAACCATGAAAAGTAGGTTAGAATTGTAGAGTCGGAAGAGACCACGAGGGTCATTTGGTTCAATCCCCTGAAATGCAGGAAGCGTTTTCCCCAATGTGGGGCCCAAGTCTCATGCTCCATGGACTGTGAATGAGTGACTATGGCCTGAGGTCGCCAAGTGAGCTTTGTGGCTTCATTTCTTTTCATCGGTATTTGAATAGGTTTGTGTTATCATCTTGTTTCAATTCTGTTACAGTTCAGTTGATTTTTAATGATTATATTTTTTATATATCTATTTTAGCTTTTTTGTATTTTATCTGTCTTGCTTTAGCTTGTGTAAGACGCCTCGAGTCCCAGTCTGGGGGGGGGGGGGGAAGGCAGGATATAAATAAATATAAAGAATTTGTCCTTTTCGTGTTGTTGAACAATGAGCACCATAATGTTATTTTTATCTTCCTGATGTATTTAAACTTTTTTATTAGGTTTTTTTAAATAATTGCAAATTCCTTTGAAACATTTCCTGTAGTAAGCAATTGATAAATGCAATAATCAACCAATAATCAATTCTTATTTCTGAGCCAGGATTTTAACTCTGGTCTCTCCCAGGTCTTAGTCCAATACTCTAACCACACTGGCAGCTCCCTGAGTGTGGACACTCTGAGCTAGTGACCCTTAACACCACATATATTCCAGCGAGTGAAGCTCTTCCACGTCCCTCCCATTTTATTAAAAAAAACAACAACCCCAAAACTTGCAGATCCAAACTCTAGAGGAAAGGATTATTATTACTATTTCCCTCTATCATGCTTTTCCTGCAATTGACCTTGCTTTCTCCTAATTTATTATGTCTTGGAGCGTTTACCACCACTAACAAGAAATCAATAGCCTCTCCGTATCTGAAAGGGTTTTTATATATATATATATATATATATATATATATATATATATATAAATAAATATATTACTATCAGGAAGGAAATCTGTCATGTCAATCAGGGTGATTGGCAACCTTCCTGTCCCCACCACCCAGCTCTCCTGCTTCTTATCAATTGCTCCCTCCAAAATCCCCTCTAGGCGTTCAATCAGACGCCGGCTCGAAGTGAAGTTTCTGATCAAAGAGGCTCTGGACGTGGCAGCAAACCGGATGGAGAGAGCCACACAAATTCCTTTGGGAGGCTTAACTGCAGAGGGTGAAGGCAAGGCTCACCCCATTCCCCGATGCTCAGAGCACCCAGCATTCCAAGGTAGACTGCTTCTGAGCATGGAGGTACCACTTGCTACTCATGTATGATAAGAACATAAAAACATAAGCAAAACCTCTTGGATCAAGCACTCTGCTCCCAGAGTAGCTGGCCAGATCCCCTAATGGAAAACCTGCAAGCAAGACCTGGGAAGTG